CAAATGCGTTCAATGTGTCAGGGGCCCTCGCTACAGAAAACATCGTCAAATAGGTGCAACGGGCCGAACCTCGAGGAGGACATAAATCCTTGCTAAGAATTTCATCCACCAAGGAAGGGATGAAACCCAACAGAACAAGAAAGACTAACCCGAAACCCCCTTACCCTTAAGAACCCTCGGCAAGGATTAGGAGTTAAGACCTAGGGGTTTGACCCACTAAACCAACTGGGTCCAGACTTCTGGACATCCGAGGGGAACGTGCACGGAAACCATCACGAGAATTCCCCTGGAAGCCATAGAAACGAAGGGGACTTCGACACGGGAAGAGAAGATCAAACGAAAATCTTAGAATCAAACAAAGCCAAGGAAAAGGGATCACCAGTTCGACTGCACGCCACAACCAAGCCCCAAACAGGCATAATCACTCGAAGCCAAGAGTCCTTAGCCCCTTTCCCTCCCCTTGCCAATCAAGTACCATTTCGTTAAAGAATCCGTCCTATCACTCCAAACCTCGCTCTTGATCCCTCATTACAGACGAACCCGTACAAGGTGGCAACCTTCCTTCCTGTATTACGACCTTGAGACATCGACCCTATCCGCCCCTCGACTTTGAAACCTAGCCCTTGCACTCCTTACACCCCTTTAAACCCAGACCAAGAAAACATAGATATATACATGTATGTATATCTACCTCTAGAACTCGTGCTTAAAGATCAATGAACATTGTACGATGGGTCATCCTATGTATCCAAGTCCCTTTTATTGTGCACAAGGGCATGGGACTTGTCAGGACATGAATCTGTGCATTTTTGGGGTCTTTCCCGAAGGAATTGACTATTCCTAGTCACTTTCCCGCGGGTCCCCAACGGGTCCTTGACGGGACCTTGGCGGGTCCTTGGCAGGAGCTTGGCAGGCGGACGACCGCCCACCTCGCGCCCACTGGTACAATGTGCTGATTTCTTAACCCCTCATTTTATTGATTTGTGGCGCACTTGTGTGCCTCGATTGAGGAATGTGAGTCTTGGGTAAGGAAACATGGACCACCCAAACATAGTGTCCTACGTAAAAGACCTTGACACACGAGACACCATCGGGAAATCACAATCCATTACATTGCACGAATAATTGAAATCGGATCCTACGATACAACCGACTAGGGATGTTTGGCGTAAAGGATTGCGCAAACCAAGGAGGCGAGTTGGGAACTCGTACTAAGAACCCACGAAAACCTTAAAAGTCAAAATGGTAAGGAGGGACCGGGACTCCTCCAAACCATGGACATCGTTCGAGCAAATCAGAGGACTCCTTACAAGTTGTATGGAATCAAGAACTACGTAGCCCATGGTGCTAAGCAAAAGGGTGAAGAACACATTCGCGCCAAGACTTCAAGGGTCATTAAGGACCCACATGGAAATGAGGTGACTCGTAAAGTCGCCGAGTCATCCCACAACGAGATTTGGTAACCGACTGCGCTTTAAAAGAAAAAGGTCACGCAAGGACACCTTCATCATTAAAAATAACACAAACAAGGCACAACAATGCCGAACCTCGGGTAAGACATGAAGTCTTACTAAGAATTTCATCCACTAAAGAGGAGATGAAATTCAATAAGAAGAGAAATTCAACCCAAAGTCCATCGACTCCCAAGAGACTTTGGGAAGAATTTGGGAAGTGCGCCCTAAGAGATTGGCTTGGTTGACCCAACTCGGTCAAGACCTTGGACGCATTAAAGAAGTAAGTGTTGAATCACCACGGGAAATTCCCTCAAGAAAGAAGAGAAGGATGAAACCTTAGCCTGGGAAGCAAGGTCTAACAAGGATCTTAAAGTCAAGCAAGCACCAACACCAAGGAAGGAGGATCATCAGCTCGTCGGCGCATCGTGATCAAAGCATCTAACCAGATTATTCACTTGGGATCGAGAAACCTTAACCCATCCTAGCCGAATTCCTTTTCCTCCCTCGGAAAATCGGCCCCTTCCTTATTTCAAAACCCTTTTTACCCTTCAGACCCCATTCTCAATCCCATGTTTTAACGATTCCATACAAGTGGCAACCTCACAACCTAAGTTGCAACCTCGAAAACTTGATCCTAATTCCTGAATTCACCGTGTCCTCAAGTTTGAAACCCACTCTCTTAGCCCTGTAAAACCTAATCGCTCCCAAAAACCCAACACACATAGGCGTGCAAGTATACAATTTCCCCGTGGAATACCTTCTCTATAGGACCACGGTTCTTCCCTTGACTCGTTAACCCTGCAATGATTTCCAAGCTTCGGGGACGAAGCTTCTCGTAAGGGGGGGAGAGTGTAACACCCCGTGTTACGGCCCTCAATCCCGGATTAATTATTAAATTAATCCCATTAATAATAATTAAATATGATTTAATTCGGTTAGGTTTCCTTTAATTAATTAATAAAGGTCCACCATGAACCGTGGACCCTTGCCTAAATTAGAGTCCTAAGCCTATTAGGAATAAAGAAAGTAAACCCTTTACTATTCAGATTCTAATTAGGAATCCTAGACCTAGTTATCTATTAGGAATAAAGGAAGTAGGCCTTTTACTATTCAGACTACGATTAGGATTCTCTTTAATTAATTAATTAATATGGTCCACTATGGACCATGGACCCTTATCCCTAAACCCAATCCTTAGTTCCAAAAGGAATAGAATTAGCAAGCCTATAATATTAGTTCCTAACCAGGACTCCTAAATATATAAATAGGGGACTTAAGAGACACCTAGAACCCCCCACCACAATAAACGTTCCACCACCCCAAAGTGCTCCAAGAATCCCCTTAGAAGAAATCAAGAAAGCAAGAAAGCTTAAAGAAAGACCCTTCATAGCCAAGGAATTAATTAAGGCTAAGAGGTAACCCATGTCTCAACAAAACCTATTTTCATAGCTATGATTTCCCCTTAGGGTTTCCCCCATATTATTGTGAATGGCGAAATTATGGTGATTAGTATTGATGTTGATTTGATGATTCCATGGGGAATCCTGATAATCTTGATAATTGGGAGTTTCTTGATAATGATGATATTCTTGATGATTAATTCGGGATCCTTGATGATTATGTGTTGTTCTTGATGATTATGATGTTCTTGATGATTAATTGGCATCCTTGATGTTTATGTGTTATTCTTACCGAATCTTGTAATTAGAAGATGAATCGTATTCTTGTTGATATAAAAGTAATTAGAACCCTAGGTTGTATCGTATGTTATTATTCTTGGGTTATCGGGTGGGGAAATCGCATGTTTGGGTGTTGATTATGTTTAGAAAAGCATGATAGGTTAGGTGCCGTTCGTTTCTCGTATTTGATCCGTTAATTGTCTACGTGTTGTCGTTAATTGCGTTGTAAAGTGTCTAAGCATGGTTTCGGGTTTCACAACGGTTCCCGGGGCGAAAAGTGATGAAAAGAGTCAGTGGGGGTAGGTGGGGGTAGGGGACCCGCCACCTACCCGTGGCAACTTCGGGCAGTTCCGGCAGCGGGCAGCCGGCGGGCGGGCAGCTGCCCGCCGGGCACCCGCTGCCCGAAACAGTGTTGGCCGGCGGGCAGCCAGCGGGTGGACCCCCACCTACCGGCTACCCGCTGGAAAATCATCCCAACTTGGGATCCCGGCTTCCCCGTTTGATGTTCCCCGTTCCCCGTGGTGTCCCAACGGACTCCGTTTATCGTGCCTATGTCTAGTTTGATGTTTCGGGTACCGTTCGTAGGTTTATGAGTCTATTATATTGCATGCTAGTTGAATTGGTATCCCGTTGACCTAGGTGGAAGAAGCATGAACCCCTTAGGACTATTCTTAGTATGTGATGGATCACGCTTAGGTTTCGTTATACGTTCTATTCCCCTTCCCAACGTGTAATGTGGGTTGTATGTGCTTGCTATGTGTTATGTGTGCGTGTTGCCCCAATTCGGTTGCGATCGGATTGGTTATCCTGAGCTGCGGTTCAGAAGCCGGCTACAGTCAGATGGGAATTCCTGGCTGCAGTCGGATGACGTATCCTGGGCTGCGGTCCAGAAGCTGGTTGTAGTCAGATGGGAATTCCTGGCTGCAATCAGGTGACATCTTTCCTGAGCTGTGGTTCAGAGGCTGGCTGTAGTCAGATGGGAATTCCTGGCTACAGTCAGATGACACACTCTCTTGGGCTGCGGTCCACTGTTTGGTTGCGATCAAACATTATGATGAGCTGCGGTTCATCGGTCGGTTGCGATCGACCTCCCCGTGTTGCGATACGGGGCATGGTGCTGTGGGGCCGTGTCAGAGCTATATGCGCTGACCCGCATGTATGGGCATGCGAGTGGTCCTGTAGCGCCAACAATGTGTGTTATGTGTTGTGATATGGACGAATTGTGACTATGAGTGCCTTGGGGGATGTGACTATGGGATTTATATTGGGGATTGTTCATGTTGGGTTATGACCATTGTTTATGCTTTGCCTTATCTGCCTTACCTGTTGTGAACTGCATATGCTCGTTATACCTGTTGCTTGTGTCTGGCCTTATCTGTCGAGTCATTCCCGGTTTTAAAGCTAGAGTTCGTAGGATATATCTTCATGCTCAAAATGGTTTTCGTATATCTATATATATCTCTATATGTATTGTATTTCAACGCGTTGGAGTGGGTTACCAGCATCTCTCGCTGAACAGATATATTTGGCTTTCAGGCACAGAAGATTAAGTCACTGGAGTGCGCTAGAACTTAGAAGTAGATAGTTTCCCTTTTGGCCTGCGTGCCACGTTTACGTATTTACGCTTTGAGGATATTAGTTAGTTAGCCTGTGCACTTGGGTTCTCTAGCCCAGGTGTGGCATAGCACCCCGAACGCTTGTATTTATATCTTGGGATTTAATAAGATTCTACCTTTATTATAAGTTTTAAATGTCTTGAAAATCTGGGGTGTTACAATAGAGTAAGTAATTTATTATTTGTTGGTTTCGACACCCATCAAATTTTTGGCGCCGTTGCCGGGGATTGGTGTCAAATAGATTTAATTCTATGTCACGTTCTTCTCGTACAGGTCAGTTGCAATACGATCCTGAGATCGAGAAGACTGCAAAGGGGTTGAGGAAGGAGACTAAAGTGCGCAAGAATCAAGCCCTTTCATCAACATCCCTTCAATCGAATACCACAACTGAATCAACTGCCTCTTGTTGCGATCCTGAAGTGGAACAAGAAATGGCTGAAGAACAAAGAACGTTGCGGGAGCTTTCTGCACCAAATGTTAATCAACAACCACTTTGTATTCAACATCCTACCTTAGAGGTTGGTTTTGAATTACGTTCAGGTTTGATTCAATTACTTCCAACTTTTCGTGGACTTGAAATGAAGATCCACATAAGCACCTAAAGGAGTTCCACGTGGTGTGTTCGAGCTTCAAACCACAAGGAGTAACAGAAGATCAAATCAAACTGCGTGCCTTCCCATTCTCACTAGCTGATAGAGCAAAGGATTGGTTATTTTACCTTCCTTCTGGCTCAATAACCACATGGAATGAAATGGTAAGATTGTTTCTTGAAAAGTTTTTTCCAGCCAATATTAGAAGAGAAATGTGTGGCATCAAGCAAAGAGACGTAGAGACTCTCCACGAGTATTGAGAACGCTTCAAGCAACTGTGTGCAAGTTGCCCCCAACATGGAGTTTCTGAACAACTCCTCATTCAATACTTTTATGAAGGATTGCTTCCCATGGAGAGAAAAATGATGGATGCAACTAGTGGATGTGCTATAGTGAATGAAATTCCCCAAGAAGCTGGAGAGTTAATTAATATCAATAATAGCTGCCAATTCACAACAATTTGGATGCAGACGGGATAAGTCTTCTAGAAGAGTGAACGAGGTAAACATTTCTTCCATTGAGAATAAACTATCTCATTTTACTACTCTTGTTCAACAGTTAGTTGTAGGAAATATGCAGCAAGTAAAAACTTGTGGGATATGTGCTGCTACTGGACACCAAACTGATATGTGCCCAACACTTCAATACGATTCGTGTGAGCAAGCTAATGCAATTGGAGGGTTTCCGGGCCAACCACAAAGAAATTATGATCCCTACTCAAATACATATAACCCAGGATGGAGGGATCATCCAAATTTCAGCTACAAGCCGCGTCCACAATTTCCACAGTTTCAATATAGAAAAACCAATTCAACAACCTTCATCTTCACAACAATCATCCTCTAATTCAGGTATGTCACTGGAAGATATTGTTAAATCACTTGCTACTAACACACAACAATTTTAGCAAGAAACAAGAACAAGTATTCAACGTTTGGAAAGTCAGGTGAACAAGTATTCAACGTTTGGAAAGTCAGGTGAGCCAAGTAGCATCTACCGTGAGTAGATTGGAGTCTCAAGGTAAATTACCCTCACAAACTGTTGTAAATCCAAAGCAAAATGCAAGTGCAGTTACCTTGAGAAGTGGAAAAGAGCTGCAAGAACCTACTCAAGTGAAAAGCAGACACAACCGAGATGAAGAAAAGGAAAAAGAAGTCCATCCACCCCAAAATGATCAAAAACTTGTCAAAGAACATCCGGAGGCTGTGGTAATTCCTCCCCCTTTTCCTAGTAGATTGGCAAAATCAAAAAAGGATGAAGAACAAAAAGAAATACTTGACACATTTCGAAAGGTTGAGGTAAATATTCCTTTACTTGATGCTATTAAACAAATTCCTCGATATGTTAAATTTCTTAAAGAGTTGTGCACAAATAAAAGAAAGTTGAAAGGCAGTGAAATGGTAAACATGGGGGAAAATGTTTCAGATGTTCTACAAAAGAAGTTGCCTCCTAAATGTAAAGATCCTGGTATGTTTACTATCCCTTGCAAAATTTGAAATGTTAATGTTGAAAGAGCAATGTTAGATCTAGGAGCTTCAATTAATGTGATGCCTTTATCTATTTATTCATCTTTGAATATTGGTTCATTAAAAGGAAATGGTGTAATTGTTCAACTTGCTGATAGATCTAATGTTTATCCTGTGGGGGTTTTAGAAGATGTTTTAGTGCAAGTTGATGGGTTGATTTTTCCTGTTGATTTTTATGTGTTAGATATGGAAGAAGATAATTCTACTAATTCTTCATTAATCTCATTAGGAAGGCCATTTTTGAAAACATCTAGAACTAAAATTGATGTGCATGAAGGTACACTCACAATGGAATTTGATGGTGAACTCATTAAGTTTAACATTTATAATGCTATGAAATATCCTGATGATGTGTCGTCTGTTTCTCTAGTAGATGTTGTTGACCCTTTTGTGCAGAAAATTTCTTATTTGACGGATAATAATGCCTTAGAGGTTGCACTAAACTTGAATCTTACCCCTGATGGGTGGAAGAAAATCATGAATAAGTTTTCTTTGAATTTTGATTTGCAAGATATTGTACATGAGTTGGAGTCACTTAAGCCAATGAAATATAATGCTTATTATATTGAGTTGCCTATATATGACACAAAACTCCTTCCTTCTGTTGTTCAAGCTCCAAAGATAGAACTCAAACCATTGCCAGATCATTTAAAGTATGCATTCTTAGGGGATGAAGAGACTCTTCTCGTGCTAATCTCCAAAAAACTATCTACATTGGAAGAAGAAAAATTGGTCCGAGTGCTTAGGGAATATAAGTGTAACACCCCAGATTTTCAAGACTTTTTAAAACTTATATAATAAAGGTAGAATCTCATTGAATCCCAAAATACGATACAAAGAGTACGAGTTGCTATGCCACACCTGAGCTGGAGAACTCAAGTGCACAGGCAAACTAACTAATGTCCTTAATAAAGAGAATGCATAACATGGCACGCAGGCCGAAAGGGGGAAACTATCTACTTCTACGCTCCAAAGTTCTAGCGCGCTCCAGTGTCTACTCTTCTGTGCCTGAAAGCCAAATATATCTGTTCAGCGAGAGATGCTGGTAACCCACTCCAACGCGTTGAAATACAATACATATAGAGATATATATAGATATACGAAAACCATTTTGAGCATGGAGATATATCCTACGAGACTCTAGCTTTTAAAACAGGGATAGACTCGACAGATAGAGCTAAGCACAGGCAACAGTTATATCAAGCATATACAATTCACAACAGGCAAGACAGATAAAGCTGAGCACAATTAATAATCATAACCCAACATATACAATCCCCAACATAAATCCCATAGTCACATCCCCAAGATACTCATAACCACAACTCATCCATATCTCATCATACAAGCACACTTTGTTGGCGCCACAGGACCAATCGCATGCCCATACATGAGGGTCAGCGCATATAGCTCTGACACGGCCCCGCAGCACCCTGCCCCGTATCACAATACGGAGGGGTCGATCGCAACCGACCGATGAACCGCAGCTCATCATAGTTTGATCGCAACCAAACAGTGGACCGCAGCCCAAGAGTATGTCATCTGACCGCAGCCAGGAAATATGAACCGCAGCTCATGTAGAAACGTTTGATCGCAACCAAACGGTGGACCGCAGCCCTATATAATATTTATATACCTGACCGATCGCAACCGGCCTGGTTAACAGTCAGTATGGTTCTCAACCCATCCAACTGCCCGTATAACCAATTTGATCGCAACCAAATTGGGTTAACATGCACACATAACACATAGCAAGTACATGCAGCCCACATTAGCACATTGGGAAGGGGGAAGAAAGCGTATAACAAAACCTATGCGTGATCCTTCACATACTAAGAATAATCCTAAGGGGTTCATACTTCTTCCACCTAGGTCAACAGGATACCAATTCAATTAGCATGCAATATATAAGACTCATACAACCTACGAACGGTACCCGAAATATCAAACTAAACACAGGCACGATAGACGGAGTCCGTTGGGACACCACGAGGGTCGGGGGACATCAAACGGGGAAGCCAAAAACCCAAGGTGGGGTATAAACCAGCGGGTAGCCGGTGGGTGAGGGTTCACCCGCCGACGGCACTGTTCCGGGCAGCGGGTGCCCAGCGGGCAGCTGCCCGCCGGCAGCACTGTTCCGGGTAGCGGGTGCCCGGCGGGCAGCTGCCCGCCCGCCGGCTGCCCGCTGCCGGCGAGGCCTCCTTTAGCCGCGGGTAGGTGGCGGGTCCCCTACCCCCACCTACCCCCCACTGACTCTTTTCATCACAAAACGCCCCGGGAACCATTGTGGAACCCGGAACCATGCTTAGAGACTTTCAAACGCAATTGACAACAATACGTAGACAATTAACGGATCCAAAAGCAAGAACATACGACACATAACCTATCATGCTTTTCTAAACATAATTAACACCCAAACATGCGAATTCCCACCCAATACACCAAGAATAATATCATACGATACAACCTAGGGTTCTAATCACTTTTAAATCACCAAGAACACAATTCATCTTCTAATAACAAGATTCGGTAAGGATAGCACATAAACATCAAGAACGTCATATAATCATCAAGAACATCATATAATCATCAACACCGCCACATAATTATCAAGAACACCCTAATTATCAAGAACCTCTCATCATCAAGATCATCAAGATTACTCATGGAATCATCACACCAATCATCAATAATAATATCACAAATCATCAATACACAATACTATGGGGAAATCCTAAGAGGGGAATCATAGCTATGAAAATAGGTTTTGTTGAGACATGGGTTACCTCTTAGCCTTAATTAATTCCTTGGCTATGAAGGGTCTTTCTTTAAGCTTTCTTCTTTCTTGATTTCTCCTAGGGGAATTCTTGGTGTGGTGAGAGATTATTGTGGTGGGAGTTCTAGGTGCCTTCTAAGTTCCCTATTTATATATCTAAGAGTCTTACTTAGGGTCCATTCCTTCTAGGACTAGGGGTTAGGTTTAGAGGTGAGGGCTCATGGACTATGGTGGGTCTTTTTCCTAATTAATTACTGTAATTTAATTCTTTCTTTTGGGTAATTGGTTAAATGATTAGTTGGTTTTAGGGATCATAACACGGGGTGTTACACTCTCCCCCCCTTAACGGGAAGCTTCGTCCCCGAAGCTTGGTCCTTGTCGATTGACTTCCTCTTAGTTACCTGGTGTGAAAAGTTCGGGGTACCGTTCCCTCATTGTGTCCTTGAGTTCCCATGTTGCTTCCTCAGTCCCATGGTTGGTCCAGAGGACTTTCACCATTTCTATGGCTCGACGTCGGGTGTTTCTCGTCTTGGTGTCCAGGATTCTCACGGGTTTTTCTTCGTATACTAGTGACTCGTCGAGGTCCACGACCTCGGGTTGAAGCACGTGGTTTTGGTCGTGCACGTATTTCTTTAGCTGGGATATGTGGAGTACGTTGTGTACTCGTTCTAGTTCAACGGGTAGAGCGAGGCGGTAGGCTAGGTTCCCGACTCTTTCTATGATTTCATAGGGGCCAATAAATCGAGGGCTGAGCTTTCCTTTCCTTTCGAACCTCATCACCCCCCGTGTGGGCGAGATTCTCAACCAGACCTTGTCCCCGGGGTTGAACTCGGCTTGTTTTCTTCTTAGGTCGGCGTAGGACTTCTAGCGGCCTTCATCCTTCCCTGGATGTGTTTGACCTTAGTTATGGTATCTTATAGGTATTGGGGCCCTAGTGCTACTGGGTCGACCATGTCTTCCCAACATAAGGGGGTTCTACACTTTTGTCCGTATAGAGCTTCGTAGGGCGCCATACGAATGCTTGCGTGGTAGCTGTTGTTATATGAGAATTCAATGAGGTCTAGGTGTTCCTCCCATGTCCCTTGAAAGTCTAGTACACAGGCTCTTAGCATGTCTTCGAGAGTCTGAATGGTTCTCTCGATTTGACCGTCAGTGGTGGGGTGGAAGGTAGTGCTTAGTTTTAGTTGTGTCCCCAAGGCCAATTGCAGTGATTTCCAGAATTGTGAGAGGAACCTGGAGTCTCTATCGGACACAATGTTTCGGGGGACTCCATGGTACTTCACTACTCGGCTCAGGTAGGCTTGGGCCAGTTGTGTCATTGTCCACGTTTCCTTCATGGCAATGAATCGCGTCGTTTTGGTTAGTCGGTCCACTATGACCCAAATTTTATCCTTGCCGGTCTTTGTTGGGGGTAGCCCTCCGACGAAGTCCATGGATATGGAATCCCACTTTCCTTGTGATATCTCAAGGGGTTGTACGATTCCCTTGGGTTTGCATCGTTCGGCCTTCACCCTTTGGCAATTCAGGCATTTGGCTACGAAATCTGCGATTTCCTTTTTCATGTTGGGCCACCAAAACGACCTTTTTACATCTTGGTATAGTTTGTCAGCCCCTGGGTGAACTGAGTATGGGGAGTTGTGTCCTTCCTCCAAGATCTGTTTTTTCAAGTGGGGGTGCGTTGAGGGCACGCACCACCTGCCTTGGTAACGGAGGCTGCCATCCTTGTGTATTTCGAAGGGTCCTACCTTTCCCTGGGTTAGGTCGAGGCGAATTTTATCTAGTTCTGGATCCTGCTATTGTCCTATTTTGATTTCCTCGAAGAGTGTGGGTATGATTTGCGTGTTGAATAAGTGGACAATGGGGTGGGTTTGTCCTTGCTCTATTATTTCCAAATTTAGTTTTTTGGAAGTCCATGTACAGCTGGTCCGGTAGGATCCAGGTGGTGTTGAGGGAGTGGTTAGTCTTCCTGCTTAGGGCATCCGCCACAATGTTAGCTTTTCCCTCGTGGTATTGGATGTCTAGGTCGAAGTCTTTTATGAGTTCTAGCCACCTTCGTTGTCTCATGTTTAGGTCTTTCTGGGTGAAGATGTACTTTAGGCTCTTATGGTCTGTGTAGATCTTGCATTGCACCCCGTACAAGTAATGCCTCCAGAGTTTTAGTGCGAACACGATGGCGGCTAGTTCGAGGTCGTGGATGGGGTAATTTTCTTCGTGGGTTTTGAGTTGCCTGGATGCGTATGTTATAACCCTGCCTTTTTGCATTAGCACGCATCCCAACCCCTTTTTGGATGCGTCACTGAAGACCTCGAACCCTTCCGTCCCGGAGGGGATGGCTAGCACGGGTGCCGTGGTTAGCTTATCCTTCAATTCTTGAAAGGTCGAGATGCAGTCGTTGTCCCATCGGAAGGGGGTTTCCTTTTTCATGAGTTTGATGAGAGGTTGGGCTATCTTGGTGAAGTCGGGTACAAACCTCCTGTAGTAGCCAGCCAAGCCTAGGAAGCTTCGGACTTCTGAAAGTGAGCTCGGTGTGGTCCATTCCTTAACGACACGGATCTTGGCGGGGTCCACCTTAATTCCCTCCTTGGCTATCACGTGGCCCAGGAAGGCCACACTGTCTTTCCAGAATTCGCATTTAGAGAACTTGGCGTATAGTTGGTGCTCTCTTAGGGTTTGCAAGGTTATGCGGAGGTGTCTCACATGTTCTTCCTTATTTCGGGAGTAGACTAGGATGTCGTCAATGAATACAATGACGAAGTCATCCAAGTGGGATCGGAATACTCGGTTCATGAGGTCCATGAATATGGCGGGTGTGTTGGTGAGTCCGAAGGGCATTACTGTGAATTCATAGTGGCCGTAACGTGTCCGGAAGGCCGTTTTCTGGATGTCCGGTTTGGTCACTTGTATTTGGTGATATCCGGACCTTAGGTCAATTTTCGAGAACACCCCGGCCCCTTTAAGTTGGTCGAACAAGTCGTTGATCC